ATAAAAGTATATTCACAATCAGTTTATTTGATTTTTGTTATCATTGAATTTTCCGAATAAACCATGTCAAATATTTCACCCTTTTATCAACAGTTTTATAAAATATAATGCCTGGTAACTGTCTTGTAAAATGTATTGTCATGTGACTGATAACGTGTGCATGCAAGCTGATCACCTGTTCGGAATCTTGTCAGATCAAGATTGGCACCTTACAATGTGGCTTTGATACTCATATGTTTGATTATGTGTGTGAGTTGTAAAATGTAAAATCAGTATATCAGCTTGGAGATAAAAAAATACTTAGTGAAGCAGATGGATTAGATTAAAAATTAGAAAAAAGAAAATGTTGAGAGAGAGAGAGAGAGAGAGAAAGTGAGAGAGAAACTGAAGAAAAGAGAGAGGAAAAATCAAAAATCAAAAATTAGAGTTGCAAAAGTTTAATCAATATACTCTAAAAATAACTTAGAGTGAAAAATCTTAAAACAAAAGTCTGTATTTTTAAAAACTTTTAATTTATTGCAAAGTTATGTAAAAATAACTTAATCATCCTAATGAACAAAAACTCAAAGCTTCTTTAGGGTGTAAATCATCAAATTGGCAAAAAATATTTGATCCAACTTCAATAGGTAAAACATCAAAGTTTGCGGTATTTGCCGTGGTCACTTAATTATCGTTGCAAAATTTTTCTTCAATAAATAATCAATTCTTATAGAAATTTTTTTCCTTCACAAGACAATAAATTAAAATAAAAACATTCACAAGTTAGTTTCTGAACGCTGGTAAGGGCAACTTATAACCCACATATAAGCACACACACACACTCACACACACACATACACACATACATACACCTTTGTACACACACACACACACACATACACACACACACACACACACACACACACAATAAACACATTTAAATGTATGTATATTATGAACGGTTTATATGGCACGCATGGATAAAGAAACGTATTTGTGAATAAATTTCATATACGTGCATTATAGGCAGAGATAAGCATAAATGCATATGTGCATTTCAAAGAATTTATATTCTTTTATAAACATATAGATGATATGTAAATATATATAAATTGATTATGTGTCCATTAACCACAGTGCTACGTCTATTAACGACAATTAATTAACATAGATATATGAGTAGCGGATTATTTAGAGCTGTTGTTCGTTTAACTATAAAAACAAGAGAGCGTCTAGCGATCTTCACATTTTAATTCCATCAATAATTAGATGGTGGTTTTGCCCAATGATCAAGTTCATTTGGATTGAATGCATGTGAGTTTGTCATGTTCTATTTAATTTTTAATTTCTGTTATAAGTCGATCTTTTCAATTTGCGTTGTTAATCTTGGTTTAATTAACTTCATATTGATTTATTATTGATTTATAATTGATTTATTTTATAATAACGTTTATTTTATAGTTTATCCGATATGTTGATGGTTTTTAAACAAAATATTCATTGTTTAGATTATTCCGTTTATGTTGATTTACAATATTTTATCTGTTTATTTTGTTTTGTCTATGAAGCCACAAAGAAATAAGTCTGATCAGCTAACATTCATTAGTTGACGTGTATTTTACATGCACGTGTAGTATGTAGAAATGTTTGTCTTTGTCAACAAGTAGTATCGTAATTAAACGCCACTCAAAATTGTGTGTGACAAAATTTCGTATCGTTGGGCTAGATAATTTCTGTTTTTATGAATATTGACTTTTTGGACAGTGTAATTTTAACGCAATTCAAGATTTTTGTAAAATGTTTTTTATTTAATATTTTATTATATAGTTTTTCACTTATTTTTATCTTCGGGTGAATCTGTTTTGTGTTTCATTGGGGTTAAGTTAATAAATGTTTCTAAATAATATCTCTTCTACACTACATGCAGTTGAATTTATATTCCTGATCGGCAAGATTGGTAGGCTATTTAATTTATTCTACAAATTCATTATAACCCCAAACTACATCAATAATAAATTTTTAAATTTAAAAAATTGCTGCACTCAAACAGATCACTTAGCAAAACCTATTTTCAACTTGATTTAGTTAGATGATTTGATTTGTAATATATTAGAGGTACGTACTGAATGATAAATCAATTTAGAAATGTGCAGAATGTTGAGGACGTTACCCTAGCTGTTTAAGTGTTGAGATCGTTCACAGTCTGAAGAGATAGGAATCTAAAAATAATTGCGTAGTTGGCGGTGAAGACTTCAATTCTGGTTTCTGGTTCCTTCGACCAGATAATTGAAAATATTATAATTAATTTTTGAATTTAAGTTGATGAGATGTGATGAATTTTGGCTGGTTTGGTTATTCGAAGCTACTTGTCAGTCAGCTTTCAGTAGACAAGTTAGCTAATGCTAGATACTAGCAATTAAACTTAAGTAAAGGTTTAAAGAAGACGACATACATATCTGACCAAGCATCATCGTTTTTTCAATTTTTAAATTTTTTAATGAAAGCCTTTCAGAAGAAGGTGTCTGTGAAAATTTTATTTTAAAATAAGAAACGCATAGATGCATAATTTTGAGCAATCATTCTTTAACGCAATAGTTTTGTCAAAATTGACAGCTCAATTCACAAACAATTAATAATTTTATCATTTAATCCACATTTCGAAATTCTTCACAGCTTTCATCAACAATAAAAATTGGCGACGTACTTATGAAAAGGACTGCACAGAATTCGGTTCAACGTACGCACACGCATGATTCATGAAAAAATTGGCTAAAACAGTTCGGAAGGCTTAATTGCCATTAGACCTACATGAATAAAGATTATCTTGTCTAGACCAGTGCTTTTCAAACTTTTTTGTTCCGTGGACCGGTACGGAATTTAATGGGCATCTGCGGACCACCATTACACTATATATATATATATATATATATATATATATATATATATATATATATATGTATATATATATATATAACTTGTGTATTGGTTCACGAAGCTTTGCTGTTTCAGGACCGACTGTCTGGAATAGTCTTCTGGCTTCGCTCAGGGACATTGGGTTGACCATGACATGATTCAGAAAGAAACTCAAAACATTTTTGTTTTCGTTATAGTGATATCTTAATTTTCTGAATTGTTCTATAGTGTTTTTTTTGTAATTGTGTTGAATTGTTTCAGTTTTTTGCAGCCAGACAATTATTTCTGCGTTTAACTTTATTTTAGTAAGGACATGTTTAATCTTATGCTTAGTTTTGCGTTATTTTATTTTGATGGCGCTTTTGAATTTTAACTAACTAGCGCTAGATAAATCTTTTGATAATTATTTCTTGCTCACTTTCATACTTATCTCGCACTCTAACCATGTTTTTTTAAACAGCTGACCACCCTCACATATATACTTATCTCGCCAATTTAGAACAATGAATCTCATTAGTTGCAGAGATCATTCTGGCTCTCGCGTTCTCACTTCTATTCTTATCTCACCAGTACTAATTAATGAAATTTTCTTTGTGTTGCTGGTAAGTCTTATTTTTATTTTTTTATTTTGAATATTTAAAAAAATTTTGGGAGCTTGCCGCGGACCGCCAGCTGCTAGTCTTTGAAAAGCACTGGTCTAGACGAAAGTATCAAATGAAAAATAATTGATTTTCAACTAATCGATTTTTTGTGAAGGAAATCTAGGTGGAAATTTTATTTTTATTTTTAAATGTAGCCAAATCACGTCTAAATTATTGTCTTTTAATTTTTATTATTTTTGACATTTGAATGATTTTTTTAGTTTCAAAGTTTTGATTTTAAAATCGTGCTTAAAACTTTCCCATTAAAAATTTGTTTACACTAGAAATGTGCGTGCGTGCGTGTGTGCGTGTAAATGAGTGGATGTGCGATTCGTATTTCATTGCGTTTGCGTTGTCACACTTCCGTATGTTTATGAATGACGGCATAATAATTTAAAACTTCCTTCTTATTGATCGATACATTTTACCAGGTTGATTACTTTTAGCGATTTAGTTTATCACGAGTGTCATTCTTATGAATTAGTTGTGTTGATTGATTATGGTACGGCGTTCGACATTTATTTGATAAGCTAACGAAACATTGATAGAGCAAATGTTGATATGAATATTGGAAATCAGAAAGTTATGTAAGTAAACAAAAGATGTATCTACTTTTTCTGAGCCCTGCATTTCTTACCTGTTCAACGCGATCAATTACCCACATTCTTCAGCCGGCTGAGAATTGAATGGCGCTGCGTGCTGCATGCTGCTCTCAGTTGCTCGACACTGTCGTCGTTCGATTCGTTTCATTGTTCGCTGGCACGCACGCTCAAAACAAATCTGCATGATTTGTGCTAATTAAATTTGAAAATTTGCATATTATATTTATTCATTTATACTTGCCATATTAACTCATATCATATATTTTGTGCAACTTACCGTTGTCACCACTTGAAAGCATATGTTTGTCCGTAAAATGGCATACTTTAAATTTAAAACAATGTGAATCGAAACATAGAGATTGATGTTTCACAAACAAGCTTTGTTAATGGGCTTTTGTTATATTTTTTGTGGTTATTTTTTTAATAATGAATGTTCATAGTAAAGAGCTTCATGATGGCCAGGCACACATATTGCTCTTGAGTGGAGATGCAATTAAATTCGGTTCAAACTTCTGTCTCCCTCAAGAGATGCTTCACGTTGTTTAACGTTGCTACAAAAAATGAATTGAATATCAAAGCGTGTGACACATAATCTGTAAACAATTCAACAGATATGATTATGCCTATAGCTTAAAGCAATTACAAAAAAATAAAAAAGTTCACCAGATTGAAAATGTTGATAGGAGATTAATAAATATACATCGTTGTTTGTTGATGCTGGTTGTTTAAAGACGCTCTCAAAATTGTATTATATCCGACTAACTTGAAATATTAATTGAAAATAAACAATCTTTTTGCCTTCAATTTATTCCGGTTTTTTTTATTTGGTTTGAAAAAACCGACAGATAGGAAATAATAAAAGACCATGACACATCTCTACGATCTCGAACAGACTTCTGGTAACATTCTTTTCTCTCAACATGTCAATCAAATACAAATAAATTTAAAATTGATTATGAAAAAATTAAATTAATTAATAATTAAGCAATTAATTAACTTCAACTGCCAAAAGCTTATTCAATAAATCTTTTGACAGGAAATGATCCAACCTCAAATCACATCCACGACGAAATCACAAGTCACAACCACAAAAACATTGGAAATGACCAAGTTTTGAGCAATGGATCGTCAAACCTCACTAATCATAGTAGGAAAAATTATTATTTATATTGAACAAAAAATTTGTTAAAAATGTTGGTCAGAAGTATATTTGATCATAAATAAATTTCAGCCATGGTGCCAATAAAAAAAAACTCGTTGAAAGAGGAGACCGGCAAAGCAAGCGACGGTAATGCCTATCAAAACTCAATGGTAAATGGTTTGGAGGATGTCAGTGATAAAAAGTCCCAAAGAGGTAAGAAAAATAAAATTAAAGATTCATCAGCGGACAAGGAAAGTAAGAAAAAAGAGAAAATGAAAACAGTCTCAATACTCCAGCTGGTACGTATCTACTTGACCTACTGTGTGTAGGATGCGGTTGTTTGCTGACGTACAAAAAGTGTTATATTTTTTGTTCGTATGAGATAATATTACTATTTCATTGTTGATTGAAGTGTTTTTGACTCAATCTGTTTCAATCAGACTGGTTGATTTTAAATTCTGCAGTTCCGGTTCGCCGATAAATACGACATAATGTTGATCACCGTCGGTTTAATATGTGCATGCGCGCATGGATCAGCATTGCCTGTGATGATCCTCGTGTTTGGCACCATGACCGATTCATTCCTGGGCTCCTCCGGTGTTCCCAACATCACAGACCCGACTGAAATGGCAACATTGTAAGGGCTCAATTATGAAAACCGTATTTTTTTAAAGATTATTTTCAATTCTTGCCTCTTTTTACAGGATGGGCGCGTTCTCTGACAAAGTTTCGACGTCTTGCATTTACTATGCTAGTAAGTTTGAATTGGTGCAAATTAATTTATTTTAATGTTTTTATAAAATTTGAATAAAAATGGATGATCTCATGACTGAATCGTCACTTTAGTAATTGGAGCAGTTGTGCTGGCTGTTGGCTACCTGGAAGTCAGCACATTTCTCATCATCTCGTACAGACAGGTCTTGAAACTGAGAATGAAACTGTTTGCTTCGGTCATCCATCAAGAAATTGGATGGTTTGATACGCATGAAACTGGAGAACTGAGCACACGTTTTTCAGAGTGAGTCGTGGTTGAAGCGAAAAACATTCGTATATTTATCGTTCTTGACATGGTTTAAAAATTTTAAAAATCTACAGCGATGTGAACAAAGTCCAAGAAGGGATCGGTGACAAGATAAGCAATTTTTTCCAATGGGTTTCAACGTTCACCGTTGGAATCATTATTGGCTTGTGTTATGGGTGGAAGTTGGCACTTGTAGTCCTGGCGATGTCTCCATTGCTCGCTGCAGCCGGCGGTCTGATGACTTACGTCAGTTTTGTGGTGGAGTTCCAGTTCAATTCAGACTTTATAAACTTTGTTTCAATTTTTAGTTGATATCAGCGACAACGAGCAAGGAGCTGACAGCTTATGCAAAAGCTGGTGCAGTGGCCGAAGAAGTGTTTTCTGCCATCAGGACTGTCGTTGCATTCAGTGGACAGAAGAAAGAAGAGGAGAGGTCTGTTTGTTATCTTGATTCGTAGAAGCAGTAAATCTCTTCATTTTGTAAACTAATTTAAACTTTGTTTTAGATATGTAAAGAATCTAAATCAAGCCAAAAAATTTGGCATCTACAAAGGAATTTTCAATGGGGGAGGAATGGGTGTGGTGTTTTTGGTCATGTATTGTTCATATGCCATCGCTTTCTGGTACGGCGGGCAGTTAATCATAAGAGGAGAAATGTCTCTTGGGCACGTTTTGATTGTAAGCATAAAAGTTTTAAAATTATTTTAATTGTTCAAAAGATTAAACAAAAGTGAACGTTATAACGTGTGTAATTTAGGCTTTTTTTGCCGTGGTTATTGGTTCGGTAGCACTCGGAAATGCAGGCCCTAACCTTCAAAACATCGGAACCGCCAGAGGGGCTGCTTATGTACTGTGGAACCTCATAGATAGGGTAAGGGGTTAGTTTTGTAAAAAATAGAATTTGATTGGTTACTTGATTGATTGATTGATTGATTGATTGATTGATTGATTGATTGATTGATTGATTGATTGATTGATTGATTGATTGATTGATTGATTGATTGATTGATTGATTGATTGATTGGTTGATTGATTGATTGATTGATTGGTTGATTGATTGGTTGATTGGTTGAACGATTGATCGATCGATAAGCTGATCGATTGATTGATTGATTGATAATATTAAACAATTGAAAACCTACAAATAACAGAAATCTGAAATTGACAGCAGCTCGCCTGACGGGGAAATAATAAAAGACGTCATAGGAAACATCGATTTCAAAGATGTTTTCTTCAAGTACCCATCAAGGAAGGATGTTAAGGTTTATATTTATACTCAGTTTCTATTCTATAATTTTCTGTAATTTTAACTATAAATATTAAACAAGCTAAGAGTACATTTTAGAAGTGCATTCTTCAGTGACATTTTCATTAACACAGCGCAGACAAGTTCAACTTCACGTTTTTAAATTACAGATTCTGAACGGTTTGAACATGTCGATAAAAGCTGGTCAGACGGTTGCAGTGGTCGGAGCCAGTGGGTGTGGGAAGAGTACAGTCATCCAACTCATCCAACGATTCTACGATCCAGAAAGTGGAAGTGTTGCTATAGATGGAGTTGACATCAAGAAACTCAACGTCAAATGGTTGAGGCAGCAGATAGGTCAGCCAACTTCTTTCAATTTACTTGTTTATTTTATAACCTTGACATTTAAAAAAAAATTATTTTCTAATTTTTTTCGTTGAAAAAGTTTTGATCGCTCAAATCTACATTTTTGACAAATAATCAAACTGACATCCTTAACACGTTTCATCTATGAGCACTTAACAAGCTAAAAAAAACTTCTTATTACACGCGACGTTTTATTCCCAAAAATTGTAATGATTAAAAAATGATTTTATAAGCCAATTCAAGTGCAAAATATTAGTCAGACTTCACAAAGCTCTATTGATTCGAACGAAGTGAGAGATTACTGCGTTATTAACTGCCTGGCTGTTGATTTGAAGAATGTGATTACATTGCATTGTATCGTATCGTTGCATCGTATCGTGCCGTAGAATGATAGATACCAAATAACTTATACTCACTCACACATTAGAGTGCTTGCTGACGTTTATGTGTCTGCTTCTCATTGTATGAGTTTAAATGAGCAATAACAAAGTATTAATAATAGCAGTAGCAACAACATCATCATCATCATAACAAGATCATTATCATCATCAACATAACAACAATAATAATAATAATAATAATATTGTTAACATTAACAATGATAATGTGACAATAAAAATAATAATAATAGTAAATAATGAAGAAGTAGAGAAAATTTTCATAAATTAACCAATTGATAAAGTGGATACATTGGATATCGAAATGTTATTCACAGTAATTCACCGCGCGTTCGGTAGGCTTGGAACGCATTTAAATTTTACTTGGCATCTACATTTGTATGACAAAATATTTGAAGGTATCGTCAGTCAGGAGCCAGTTTTATTCGCCACAACGATCGCCGAGAACATCTCGTACGGTAGCGATGGCATCTTGACGCAACAACAAATCGAACAAGCGGCCAAAGAAGCCAATGCACACGACTTCATCTCGAAACTACCGAAGGTTCGTAGCTCTAAAATCGTAACGAGTTTGGTTCACAGTTTTGCTGTTTATTTGCATGCTAGCTTGTTTATTTTTATTTGTTTGGTTGTTTGTTTGTTTGGTTGTTTATTTGGTTGTTTGTTTGTGACGAACATTTAATTGTTGTTTTCATTGAGCTACGAGCCTGTGTCTTTCTATTGATAGAAAATACATTCCCGTTCACCTGAGCATTAGATGGTGAACATCAGGTAAATAAAAATATAAAGGTAGGTGTGCGTCATATAATCACGTGATTTCTTTAATGAAGATCACAACAAAAACAAAAAACACAAACAACAACAACCACGTTGTAGCCGATGATAAACCGCAGTATATCATTTATTATATAATTTATAATCTACTATCTTCATGTGTGCCTGTGATCAATATAGTACGTGTGTGTTCGTGAGTGTATATGTGTGTGTGTTTTTGTATGTGTTTATGTGTGTTTGTATGTGTATTTTTATGATTTTGTGGCTATTTTATTTGATAGAAACTAATACACATATTTTCAAAGAAAAACAAAGCCTATGTGCAACAAAGCCTATGTGCAATATTGCACATGAGCAACAAGTATGAAGCAGCCTGAATTTTATCATAGCATATAATTGTTTCCTTTTGAACGTTTGTATTGTGCCGATTCATTCACACTTCTTACTATCATTAACCTATGCAGCTGATTATATAAGCATAACAAAAAGAAATCTCATCATTTACATGTGTGTGTATGTGTGTGTCATCATTGTTTAATTGAAAAATTTCACTCATTTTTTTATATAATGCACACACATGCACATACATTCATTCACCCACAAACATGTACATATGTAAAAAAAATCCGATAAAAATCTCCAACTCCGTCACTCTGGATATTCTACATAGATATCACATAGTTTCAGTTACAGTAATTAATAATAATTAATAATCAAAGTGTTGGGTTGAATTGACGTGATCGGGTATTGGAATGAATTGAACAGTTTGATAGAATGAATAATAAAAAAATGATTATCATAAAATGATTTTTTCATTTTCTTCTTCTTTTTTTTCTTTTTTAATAGTTACTGTGCTATTTCACCTATATTACTTTTACTTACATATTATTATTATTTTATTATTATTATTATTATTATTATTATTATTATTATTATCGTACTCAATCTTTAGAGGCTTACTCCTACTCGAAACAGACAATCCCGTCATATTTCTTATTAAAACAACTCATTATTAAGCTGTGAGTAATGTTTCTAAGCAATGATGACGACGATGACGACGACAACGATGGTGACGATGATAAAGATGATGATAATGATGAGGACTAAGCCA